CCCAGGGCATCGCACCCCCAAGGTTGGCGTGTCCGTGACCAGGGTGGCACGTCCCTCCATGTGTCCGTGACCAGGGTGGCATGTCCCTCGTGTGTCTGTGACTAGCGTGGCATGTGACTCTGTGTGGCTGTGGCCAGGGTGGGCCGTCTCGTGTGTCTGTGACTAGCGTGGCATGTGACTCTGTGTGTCTGTGGCCAGAGTGGCACATCCCTCTGCATGTCTCTCCGTGACCAGGGTGGCACATCACTCCATGTGTCCATGACCAGGGGGGCATGTCTGTGACCAGGGTGGCATGTCCGTGAGCAGGGTGGCAGATCCCTCTGTGTGTCTCTCTGTGATCAGGGTGGCATGTCTGTGACCAGCGTGGCATGTCCCTCTGTGTGTCTGTGACCAGGGTGGCAGCCCCCTCTGCATGTCTCTGTGACCAGCGTGGCATGTCCCTCTGTGTGTCTGTGACCAGGGTGGCATGTCCCTCCATGTGTTCATGACAAGGGTGGCATGTTTGTGACCAGCGTGGTGTGTCCCTCATGTGTCCGTGACCAGGGTGGCATGTCTGTGACCAGGCTGGTATGTCCCTCTGTCCATCACCAGGCTGGGCCATCTGTGACCAGGCTGTCACGTCCCTCTATCTGTCTGTGCCAGGCTGGCGTGTCTGTCACCAGGGTGGCACATCTGTGACCAGTCTGGCACATCCCTCTGTGTGTCCATGACCAGGCTGGCATGTCCATGCGGGGCTGGCACCTCCCTCCCCATGCCTGTCCCTGCCCCGTGTCCCCTACCCTGTCCACCCTGCTGTCCCCGCATGTCCCCCCCCCCCAGCCTGCACCAGCACTGCTGCAGCCACCTGCTGCCACCCTGGGGACGGTGACACATGGATGCGGTGGCCCTGCAGCAGTGTGGGAAGCAGCTTGCAGAGAGCCAAGGGGTGGATGGGCACTGGCTGCCCCCCGGGGTGATGATGGGGACGGGGTGATGATGGGGACATGGTGACAAGGGGGGGTCCCCGTCCCCTTGCCGCAGGTGCTGTGAGTGCGGGGCCTCCCTGTCCCACCAGTACTACGAGAAGGATGGGCGCCTGTACTGCAAGAAGGATTACTGGGCGCGCTTCGGGGAGCTCTGCCACGGCTGCTCCGAGCAGATCACCAAGGGGCTGGTCATGGTGAGCGCTGGGGGGGTCCCCACAGGTCCCCGAGGGGGGACATGGAGCCCTGACCCCATGGCTCAGCGCCCTGGAAAGGGGGCGAGGTGGGGAAGGGGGTGCAGATCCTCAGCACAGGTTGGGCTCTGGGGGTGGCAGGGGTGTCCTCTGCGCTTTAGGGGGACGCGGGGTTGGGGGGGGTGACCCATTTTGGGGTTAGGGGATGCAGGGGGGAGGCTCAGGGTGGTGGGGAGATGTCCCAGCAGCCATCCCCAGCCTAGTCCCCCTCCCCATGCCATGGCTCAGCCTGCTCTTCCCTTGGCCCTGGTGCACCCATGGGTGCTCCCAGCACATCTGGGTCCCCGGGGCTGATGGCATCTGCCCGCAGGTGGCCGGGGAGCAGAAGTACCACCCCGAGTGCTTCAGCTGCCTCAACTGCCGCACGTTCATCGGGGACGGGGACACCTACGCGCTGGTGGAGCGCTCCAAGCTCTACTGGTACGTCCCGGCCTGGATGGGTGGATGGGGGGACACACACGTCCCCCTGGCACCCCCTCACCCACCCTCCTCCTCCTGGCCCCACAGTGGGCACTGCTATTACCAGATGGTGGTGACACCGGTTATCGAGCAGATCCTGCCGGATTCGCCGGCTTCCCGCATCCCGCACACCGTCACGCTCGTCTCCATCCCCGCCTGCTCCGACGGCAAACGCGGCTTCTCCGTCTCCATTGACCAGGGCTGCGGCACCGAGCACCCCCGCACCGTCCGAGTCCGAGAGTGCGTCCGTGTCCCCTCTGCCACCTTCCCCTCCCCGGGGCTGGGGGCATCCCGCACCCCCTTCTGCCGGTGGGATTCCACCCCGCAGAGACTTTTTGGGGTGGGAGGGTGAGGGATGGGGCTGGTGTGTCCCTGTCAGCTGGAGGTGGCCAGAGGGGACCGTGGTGGCATGTCCTCAGCTGCTGGGGGTGGGTTGTGGGATGGTGGTGGTGTGTCCCTGGCCATCAGGGTGGCGTGGGGGTGACATGCTGGCATTGTCCCATCTGCCAGGGTGGGCTGTGGGTACCAGGCTGGCGTGTCCCCTGTGGGATGCTTGGGGTGGCTCGTGGGTACTATGCCAGCATGTCCCCATCCAGGAGGGGTGACCCATGGGCAGCATGCCTGTGTGTCCCCGTCTAGTAGGTGTGACCTGTGGGTACCATGCCTGTGTGTCCCCAACTAGCAGGGGTGACTCATGGATACCGTGACTGCATGTCCCCATCCCGGAGGGGTGACTCGTGGGTACTGTGACAGCATGTCCCCATCAAGCATGGGTGGCTGGTGGGCAGCTTGCCTACACATCCCTGTCTCACAGGGGTGACTCGTGGGCACCACATGGGCAGCGTGCCTGCGTGTCCCCATCTGGTAGGGGTGGCCCATGGGCAGCGTGCCTGTGTGTCCCCAGCTAGCACGGGGTGGCTGGTGGGCAGCTCGCCTGCAGGTCCCCACCTCGCAGGGGTGACTCGTTGGTACCGTGACAGCGTGTCCCCCCATCTGGGAGGTGATTCGCCTGTCCCCATTGGCTGGGGGTGGCTGGTAGGCAGCGTCCCAGCACATCCCCAGCTGTGACGGTGTCGGAGGGGCTGACCCCCGCTGCCCATCGGCCCCGCAGGGTGGATCCAGACTGCATCAGCCCTGACATGAAGAACTCCATCCACGTGGGCGACCGCATCCTGGAGATCAACGGCACCCCCATCGGCCACGTCCCCCTGGATGAGGTACCCACCCCCGCCCCGGGGTGTCCCCCCTGAACCAGCACTGCACCCTCCCCCTCCCGAAACCACCCCTGCCATCCTTTTCTTCCCCTAGATCGACCTGCTCATCCAGGAGACCAGCCGCCTGCTCCAGCTGACCATTGAGCACGACCCCCACGAGCCCCTTGCCCGCGAGGCGGGGCTTGCCTGCAGCCCCCTGCCTGCCCCGTGCAGCCCCTTGCGCTCCCCGGTCCCCCCACCCTGCGGGGAGCCCAGCGCCATGCGCCAGAGGACTGTCACGTAAGGCCACCGAGCTCGCCCACCTCTCCCGTTTGGGGTTCCCTCCTTGGGGTGGATGACCCTCTGTCCGTCCGTCTGTCCATCCCACAGGAGGAGCTGCAGCACAGACAAGTCTCCGGGCTCCGGCTCGCTGGGTTCGCCCGCGTCCCAACGTAAGGACATCGGTCGCTCCGAGTCGTTGCGCGTTGTCTCCCGCACCCATCGCATCTTCCGCCCTTCCGACCTGATCCACGGCGAGGTGCTGGGCAAGGGCTGCTTCGGCCAGGCCATCAAGGTGGGGCTGGGTGGCCACAAGTGTCATGAGTGTGAGGGTCTCAGCTCCCCAGGATGGAGTTGGGGGGGTGTATTGTCTTCCCCGGGGTGACCCCAGAGGTGGGGGTGGCAGTGGCAAGCTGGTGGCTCAGCCCCTGCCCTCCCTGCCAGGTGACACATCGGGAGACGGGCGAGGTGATGGTCATGAAGGAGTTGATCCGCTTCGACGAGGAGACACAGAGGACCTTCCTCAAAGAGGTGAGCGTCCCTTTTCTTTGATCCCCCCGGTTTGGGGGGGGACACACAGGAGGGATGGGGTGGTCTGATCCTGTCCCCCACGCTGACGTGGGATGCTGGGCATGACACCTGGAGTGGGGGTGGCGGGGCACCACGGAGCGCAGGCAGCCCGGCCTGTTTAACACCCCCTTCACATGGGCAGCGGGTCTGTCCGGGTGGGTGCTGGGTGCCTCAGGGTGTCACAGGCATTGGGGGGGTCCTGCAGGTGAAGGTGATGCGCTGCCTGGAGCACCCCAACGTGCTGAAGTTCATCGGGGTGCTGTACAAGGAGAAGAGGCTCAACTTCATCACGGAGTACATCAAGGGGGGCACCTTGAGGGGCCTCATCAAGAGCATGGTGAGCACTGGGAGGGCAGGTCGGCCCTGGTGGGGACCCCTCTCCTCTCCTCTTCTCTGGCAAATCCCTCCCTCTGCCCCCAGGACAGCCACTACCCCTGGAGCCAGCGGGTCAGCTTCGCCAAGGACATCGCCGCTGGCATGGTGGGTGCTGCAAAGGGATGGGTGGGTGGGATGGGTGCTGGTGGGTGGGGGACCGCGGGGTTGGGGTGCCTCCTGCTCTCAGCCCATCCTTCCCTCAGGCCTACCTCCACTCCATGAACATCATCCACCGTGACCTCAACTCTCACAACTGCCTCGTGCGGGAGGTGAGTCCCACCTTGGTGGTGTCCCCCCCCTGCACCAGGTGGTGGCCTCAGCCCCCCATGTGTCTCTCCCCCGCCTCACCCCTCTCTATTCACCCAGAACAAGAGTGTGGTTGTGGCCGATTTTGGGCTGGCGCGGCTGATGGTGGATGAGAAGAACCAGCCTGAACATCTCAAGAACCTGAAGAAACCGGACCGCAAGAAGCGGTACACAGTGGTGGGGAACCCATACTGGATGGCCCCCGAGATGATCAATGGTGAGCTTGACCACGGTGCCAGGAAGGGGATCGTGGCTAGCCAGGTCTCTGTCCCCAAGCAGGGGACACTCGGTGGGGCAGGGACGGGAGATGCGGCATGGCCTTACTCATCTCTCCCCGCAGGGAGGAGCTATGATGAGAAGGTGGACATCTTCTCCTTTGGTATCGTCCTGTGCGAGGCAAGTACTGTTGGGGTAGGGGTCTCTCCATTGGGGTTGAGGTCTCCCCACTGGAGTTGAGGTCTCCCTATTGGGGCTAGGGTCCTCTTTGGGGTTGAGGTCTCCCCTTGGAGTTGGGGTTCTCAATGGGTTTTGGTTCCTCCCTTGGGGCTGAGCCCATTCCTCCCTCCTGCTGTCCCCCAGATCATCGGCCGGGTGAGCGCTGACCCTGACTACCTGCCCCGCACCACTGACTTCGGCCTCAACGTCAGGGGCTTCCTGGACCGCTACTGCCCCCCTGCCTGCCCCCCCAGCTTCTTCCCCATTGCCGTCTGCTGCTGTGACCTGGACCCCGAGAAGCGGTGAGTGGTTGGGGTCCCCCCCCCCGGCGGGGGGGGAAACCACT